GTCTCAATGGTGCCATTCGTGCTCGTTGCTTTTCTGGTAGTCATCCTGACAGCGGACTTTTTGCGTAGCTCATGCCGCTTTCGTGCATATATACGGGATAATTTGGCCGGTGGTTCGTAACTGGGATCACCGACCGATGAATGCGAGCTGATTGCCTGAAAACAACTTGAGAGACTTCATAACGCTCTCCTTTTTTTGAAAATGAAATTTTTTGAAAACTATGGAAAATAATTGATATTATATCGTAAAAGGTATTAAAATCGATTGAAATAGAAAGGAAAGAAGCGGCCATAGAAGCCTCGTCAAAATTAGTCACTTCAAGCTGGAAAATGTCGGGGATGTGGTTGATGTGCAGTAGTAATTTGCGGTCGTAGATAAGCCGAAGAATAACTTATAAAGTAGGGGACTGTATAAACCGAAGGAAGCTCAGTACTGCTGAATTCCATATGGTTCAAGGTTGGAAAGATAGAATTGGATAGAGAAAATGTTTTTAAAATTGAAATTGCTTTTAAAATCGCTTTTACCGCGGTTTCGCGAATTCAAGCACACAGATCTAATAGCGATTTTTAGATTGTCATCGACAGTATATTTCCAATTTTTTGTAAAACTGTGTCAAAACCCCATCCCTTTCAAATGTGTATGAGGTGAAAGCACTCGGAAGTAATTCGAGTGGTAGAATATGCCGACAATAACCACCTGCTGCCGACAAATCTGACAGGCATGCTGTACTGGGAAGTGGCATTATTGTTTTGCAGTAGGTCGAAGATCTGACTTCACCGGTACAGCCAGTCAGTCCTCCTTCAGTACGTTCATTCGTTTCGATGGTAAATTGGTGCTGGCATATGCTGGAGAGTCAAACTCATCCTCAGCTTGCTTGTTCGTAACCTTCGAAAGAAGGAGGGGCCATCAATAGCCTTGCTAGCGTACGATTACTGTTGGCATCAACTTGTTACCCTCCTGATACTTTCTGAGTGCCTTCGGCTCACAGGGGACGCAAATAAGGAAAAAGTTTTGATTTAACCATTTGGGAACAAAAGAATGAATTGGTACTATCAAAAAAGGAAAAGATAAGATATTTCTGGAAAAAATATAGCCCTTCAAGTCCGATAACTCTGAACTTTTTGCCTTCTAAAAAATTTTGGAGCTGCTGCATCATGATCCCCTCCTAAGTAGGACAAGTATAAGAACGCGAAGCTGCCTACAGAAGACCAATGTTCCTGTGTTTAAGGAGTGTATGGTATGTTGTGCTAGCGGCTCCGTCGACCAACAAAGGACACGAAGGACCCTCTTAGCCGGAATCATCACCAAGGAATCGACGACCCAGCCAGCAGATTCGAGGAGGTGCCGGAGCATCGGGCCAACAGACGAGACCTCCAAAGCTTCAGTCCAACAGAGAAATTCTTTAATAGCTAATAATAATTGAAAAACTGTCAAAAAAGAGATAATGGACTAACGAAAATGGGAGAAATAAGTAGTGGTGATAACTAATTTACAAAGATTGAGAAATACTAGAATCAGAGGAAAGAGATCAATTTAAACATCATGCATAAAAGGATGAAATATTCGAAAGTATTTCGTGAAAAATCGACTGATCAAGAGATGATCGATTAAAACAGACATGGGCAACCTTTGGCGACACGCAGGCCTGATTTACATATTTAAGCTCGCGGGCCACTTTTTAATATAAAAAGCCAGGTAGCAATGGATCAGGGCTTGCCCTTGCGACCGTGCGTTTTTGCGCCAAACTTCACATGTTTGTCTAGTTAGGCACCACATTCCGATTCCCTCTTGCGGGCCGGATTATCGCCCGTCGGTTGCCCATATGTGCGTTGAAGAAAGTGAACGATAAGAAACCTCTTCATCCGAGAATTCATCGGATGCATCGGCTTTTTCGGAAATTCCACCCGACTCATCTGTTCTCCCCGAGAGATCATCCGATTCAGCAGCTTTTTTTCTGTATACTTCTTCCGATCCGTGGTAGTTGATCGGCTTGAAGTACTGGTCCAGGGATGATTGCAGCATACCATTTTCTTTGGCTTCCCCCTTCATCACTTCCGGACCTGCAAATTTTGCTAATAAAAGTGGTGCTGGGAAATTTTAAATTGGTAAAAA